ATTATATCTAGTTGAGTTAACTCACTATATTTCTATGTGAATTCGAATAAACCTCAACGAAATGCATTACGTACCTAGAAATTGAATAATAATAATAATAATAATAATAATAATAATAATAATAATAATAATAATAAGTGTATCTCTACTTTTTATTCAATTGTCGAATTTTACTAAATGGTCTAAATATATAACTCACCTTTTAGTTTGCTAACAATTCATAAATTAATGAAATAATGACCAATTATTTCAAAGCATGACGAATAGAAGTAAAATCAATACATGAAATAATCGAATACATAAAATATTGAGAAGTGACGTTACATGTTCAAAACTTTGTTACGCCATTCGTCCCAAGTATTTGTGTAGTTTACATCATAATAGAAGAGGAAATACAAAAGGGCTTCGGAGTACATAAGCGGATTTGAGGGAGGGAGGGAGGGAGGGAGAATGGTGAACTTCTTACACTAGAATGGCATCATGCCAAAGACTTCAAATAATAGCAATTTTCGTAGTTAGAGAGATTAAGATCCCAGTGTTCTTTCGATGGGAAATTATTTCGTGATCGAAGATGTTATTTCAATTTTTGAAAGGTCTGATCCCTAATGTTCATTCAATTCGATGTGTTTTTTAGATTGAAAGTTTGGATATAAATTTTCAACCCTTTCACCATTTTGCAATGGTCTTATTTTTAGGTGACTTTAGGGGCATTTGTTAAAAGTCCTGATTGAGTCTAAGTTTCTAAACTTATGGATGTTTGTACTTTCGTGACGCTTGTCCAGAATCTCATCTTTCAAGGCCATCTAAGGCTATTCAAGGCATCCAATCAAGTTTTTGAAACTGCTCTACATACTCCTTTGCTTAGGGGAGTCTTGGTCACTCAACTATGTCTCGATGGCCGAAGCGTAAATGTTTGAAGACTAGTAGACATGCAATCGGGTCTTTTATAGTTAGCGTGACATCCAAGTGAACAATAATTATCTCTATATATAACACCTCATCTATTGCTCGATCCAATTTGAAAGTCATTCCTTGAAAAGGACCAAATGCCTAGGAATAAAAGACAAAAACTGAAATTTTCCCCCGACTAGAAATTTTTTTTAAACCTGATCTGACTGCGGCGACCAGGAACAATATGTGACCGTGGGGAAACCATGATTTGCAAACTGCAGTCACCCCTATAACTATCAACTTTTTACACTTTGGTCCTTATTTCAAGCTTTTCGTCCGGTTTTGATCTTTTTCATGATTCGCAACTTCCAAAAGAATCCACGAAGGTCCTCGAACATCCATAATCATCTGAAATTGTTCCTCCTCAAGTTCCAAAAATGTGCAACTCAATCCCCAAACTTTTTATAAGTTGAATTTCACTTTCTAAACTTGTGAGTTTCCTCCCATTTCTATCTTGATTCTTCTTATCGGTCGCATAAAATCTAGTTAGTCTTCAATTGACAAACCAATTTCAATTAGGCTCAAAATCTTCTTTTTTTGCTCCAAATATCTTCAAGTCCGAGTTTTTCTTGAAATGATGACATCTGTGGCGGATTCAGGAATGTTAGTGAGCTGGGGCGGCTGTTGACGAGATCGTTTATTAATATTTATATAAAAAATATTAAAAAATTCTTCAATCAATATATAATTGTACTAAAACATAAAAATCATATACAAATTAAAATATAATTCAATACAACCCAAAAAAATAAGGAAAAATTCACTTGAATTTCAACCTTACCATATTTTTTTTTCCATTACTGAGAAAGAATCACTGCTACTGCCCACAACTCGGGAGAAATTTACAAACAAATAATAAGAATTTCATTTAATATAAGAATCTCGTTTACACTTTTTATTTCATTCTTCAGTTTCTAAATACCGCAATTTATGCATCAAGGACTAAACCTAAAATGAATAAAATAAATCAAAAATCTTCATACGAATATTTTGATTTGGTGGCTAATGTTTAACCATACTTTTACAATTTTGATTCCCTTGGATTTAATTAATTATCACATAGAGAAGAATCCTTGTCTAATTAAAATAAATGTTTTGAAAATCGAACCAGACATTGACCCAAAAGAAGAAAAGGGACTAGGGTCAAATGTTCAAATCGAGATTAAACCGAGGTTGACCCAAAAGTTAAATTAAGGGTGTGTCTAACCAAGATTTTGGCCAAATTTTCCATGATTTTTGACCGTCGAGGTCAACACCTGAACCCCACATGTCTCACATTTGGTCCGAAAAGATGGCCGAGTCCTGTACCAACTATTTAAAAGGTGCTGAAAATCCTCCAAAAAAATCTTGGCCAGACACACCCTAATTAATTAAATAAAATGTTGTATAGATTTAAATTATTTAAAAATAAATTAGGTATATACTTTTTTTAAAAATATATTAAATATATTAATATTTTAAAATTTTAACATTTGTTAATTATTTTTAATAACCATTTAACCACAAAAACTAAATGGGCCAAAAAAGTGACAACCTACATATATAATACAAAGGCCCAATAAGGTTTTAAATTATAAACCAAGAAAGCCGTCTTCCTTCATTTTTTTTTTTTATTTTTTTATTTTGCACTCAGCTTCTTCCTATTTTTTTCAGTGGGCTTCTTCTTCCTCATTTTTTCTACATATGAATTAGGGAAATTACAAAAAATCAGGTGTATAATTTACACAAATTCAAAAATCAGGTTGAAATTTTAATTATTCAAAAATCAGGTATTTTATTTTATATATCAAACATAAATCAATCCAAACCCTAAAATAATTCATTTCTCTCAACTCTCTCACTATTTCTCTCCACCGCCCGCCACCTCCACCTGCTTCTCCTCCCTTCTCCCACCCCACGACGCTGCTGTGATTCGCAGCAAGGCCTCGACGCTGCTGGTGTCTGGGTCGGCTGTGTTGGTGGATGGTTGTGGGTGTGTGGGTCGGCTGTGTTGGTGGATGGTCTGTGGGTGTTGGGCGCATCTGTCGTTGGTTTGTGACTATATTGACGGATCTATTTGTTGGTGGTTTGGGCTGNCAATAAATTTGAAATATGTGACTGATAGATAACTGTGACCTGTAATTTTTTGATCTGTGACCAATAAAATAATATGTGACCTCATTTGTGATCTCGAAATAATCTGTGACCTACGAAATTTTTGATCCGTGGCCAATAAAAAAATCGTGACTTATAATTTTTTTGATTTGTGACCTCAAAAATAATCTGTGGCCAATTAATTATATATCTATGACCATTAATTGTATTATTATAACCTCATTATATTTAATTAATAAAATAATTAAATATTTAATTAATAAAATAAATAATTGTTGGAATAGAAAAAGTCACTGGGAAAGTCGCGGAAAGTTTGCCAAAACAGTCATCGGAAAGTTCGTCGGATAGTTGTCGAAAAGTTCGCCGAAAAAGTCGTCGAAACAGTCTTCGAAAAGTTCGCCGGAATAGAGTGGTGACCGTTCGTCCTCGAACCAGTGGGGGTGGTGAAGGTGGGGTGAGTTAATTATATTATATTAGAATTAAATATTTAATAATAAATTGATTTAATAATTTATTGTTTGATAAATAAAAAACCTATTTTTTGAATTTTCAAACTATGAACCTGATTTTTGAATTGGTGTAAAGTATACACCTTATTTATGAATTTTTCCCTCTGAATTAATCGATATTCTTTCCATAACTTGGACAAAGTTGGAGAACCATTGTTAGCAATCTTTTCTCCATACTGCTTTTCTTTTCTTTCTTTCTTTCCTTCCCTTTTCTTTTTTTGACAAAATTGTCATTTGGCCTATTTTTTTATTAAAAAAGGGGGAGAAATAAAATTTATCGTTAGTGGAGCCAAATACAGGCATGCCGGATGCTAGATCCACCGATGAATAACATTTACACTAAATTAAGTAAAAATTCGTTCAATTTATAAATATTTATAAAGTTTATAAGCGCGAATAAGTTCGTAGAATACATTTATCAAGCAAATGGGAAATGATAATTATTTTCTTTATTAGAAGAATAATACTCTTCATTTAGACAATAATCATTATTTGATTCTGACTATTCTTATGAGCAGTATCAAGTCTGCATTTAATCCCACCACAGCACATTCTGGTGTTATACAAAAATCATCATCGTTCATGCCATCGTCTGAAACTCAATTGGCATTCAGGAGGTAACAATTCTTCATCCTCAAAGTTCATGGTTGCATTGGAAAAACTAGGGTAGGGTTTTCTCAATAACTTTTCAATTGAAGATAAAAATATACGAATATTTCAATACAAACAGTGCATAATCACATAAAAACCAAACAAAAACCTCATTTACTCTACGCCCAGATAACGAAACACAGTTGCCATCGAAAAGAATAAAAAAATTACCTCCATGTGGTCCCTCTTCCTCTGTGTCCAACTTTGCTTCTTTGATAATGAGTTTGTCTTCCATATCTGGGCTTGTTGGCCACCTCTTCCTTTCAAAATGAAGGCGCGATTAGGATTTTCAAGAATTCAACTGTCATTCTTGAGAAGAACCTTAGAGACTAAAAGTGAATTTAGGATTAAAATTAGATTTTTTTTCATTTAAGGCCAAAAACAATGTTCCCAAAAACAATGTTATCTGATTGGAATATTATAAAGACCGACAATAAAAATGAGATTCAAGATTCACTATAGAAGGAAATCAGTTGAAGATAAATCACAAGAATAATAGCATACATACAGCATAATAATATTTACTGCAGCTAAATGAGAAAGTACAGCAACTGTATATTCATCTGAAGTTCTGAACAAACAAACAATTTCAGGAGGGAAAAAATGATAATTCATACAAAATTTATCTTACATCTTATATCACTGAGCATCAATTTAGAGGGGACCAAATGTTAAGCCACTTGTGAACTGAACCTTCTGAAAACATGAGCTCTGACTCAAACAAATCATGACTCCTTTGGTAGGACAAACCGTAAATGATTGAACAGTATTCCGAGAAAGAGAGAAGCTTGAATCTTATTCATTGTAGAACTGTGGAACGACCATGCTTAAAGGCCTGGTAGGCGACAAATTTCCACATCTGCTGCTGGCTGATTCACTCTCAATCAAAATACATCCTTCAAATGTTAGCCATATTGGAAAACCACTTTGAAATCCTCTCCCTGAATTATGAGCATGGCAAGTTGAAATGGATCTTGGGCATTATTTACAGAAGTGCAATCAAGTTCTTCTTCAGCTATAGTTTTTTTAACTGGCCAACGGAAATAACGCACTACTGACCATTTTTTCCTTTGGAGGAAAAAAATCTGCTAAAGCCACGGGAATGTTTCTCTGGTGCGGGAGTAGACGACAAGGAAGAAGATACCGACTGAGTAGGCTGGTGTTTTGGATGATTTGAACTGACAGGTGATCTCAATAGATTGTTGACTTCAGAATCAGAACGTTTAAATGGGGAATTGTATGAATCCTGGGAAGAATTCGAGCCTGCTCTCTGCAAATTGATAGAATTGGAATTGTCCTTCCCGTTCGAATCGATATCTTGTAAAGTCATGCTTCTTATAGTCGGTTCTTCAGTGAAGCGTATGCCTTTCTGACTCCTCCCGGGTGGGGAACCTGTAGCCTCTCCCTGGGGGCGTAAAGCTTTCAACTGCTTGCCGAGAAGCAATATGGTCTGTTGACACTCTTCTAACTTCTCTGCTGCAGCCGCCAACTCCTCCTGAAACGGAAGAAGACATGGTGTTCTTTAGTTCAGCATGTTTTTTTCGCTGAAGCATAATACTGATGATGAAAACAAATAATGAGGTTAAAATAATATGGGAAGAACAAGAACTGGCATTTCTTTCTGTACTAATCAAAGTATACAACTAAAGCTAATTTTTCCAACTTCGGCTTCATGTCTTCTCTTTTTATTGGGTGTCAAGCTCTCAGGATGGGTTCTTTAGTTGTATGGTAAATATTTGAAGAAAAATGCTAGAAGTGCTCATGGGTGACCATCACTATACATCTTCGCCATTGGTCCAAAACATGTCTCCCACCCATGCGCTGGCTTGTTGTGCGCCAACATCATCGTGCGCAACATTTCTGAGTACTACTCAATCCTCTTCTTAGTATTTTTTACAAGATTTTACTGACTCAAAATGTTCAGAATTTTGCACTAGAAGTACACATTGATGTTCTTCAATACAGAAATTTCTTACCTTTGAACATTGATCTATCAAGACATGGTACTGTGGATCTTTCATTTTTCTTCCATGTGTAAGATTTGCACTATTATTTATTACTTCCACAAGGTTATGTTCCATTTCTATGTGCCTTCCTTAGCATCAACTCTTTTTCCACAACACATCCTTAGCACAAGGATTTAAATCATCAACAACCATAATTTTTTATGCAGAAAACAACAAGAGAAAAAAACATTATAGTCACTTCAGTGTTACAGAATCACCGAAAGATGGCACCAACCAAGAATTTGCAAAAGCAGAAGGTAAGCCTAAACCAAATTAATTACCCTAAAAAACTTCTTAAGGTTCACAGTCTGTAATTGAATTCCAAGACAAGTCACTTTTCCAATTTTAAAATTTTAAGATTAACACTAAACATGCTAATACCCGAGTTTTATAAAGCATGCTCTGATTAGTTGAAACCTTCAAAAGCAACAGCTGCACTTAAAAGTTCAAACTGGAAAAAAATTACTAGGCTAGGAAACTTCTTGGAAAATAACACTTGCATCTTGGTACTCATCGTGCAATGAGGGCTTCAATAACGTCCACCAAGAGTGCTAAGAATGAGTAAGTTTTTTAAAATGTAGATGTCGGTCAAACTGTGATTCTCAAATATCAAAAGAGAGTAAGTATTCACTCTATATGATTTCTCATTGGTTAAGAACAAGATGTAGTAATAGCCATTCTATTCAAATAATGAACTTAAAAGAGAAAAAGATGAAATTAGCTGTGTCGCTATAATGCAAATACTCTTCATAGGCAAGGAGGTCTAACCCAAATTTTCAAGGCAATCTATGTCTATTACATGTTTATAAGGTAGAGTCATGGTGAATGTAGAATAGTCAATACTGAGAAGGCAACATAGTTTACAAGTTTCACCTGGTTGGTCTTGGCATCATTATCAGCTGCTGAATAACTCTCAATCCTGACATGAAAATTACAGAAAAGCACGTGAAAGGATTAGAAATAAAATTTAATTGAATTTCATCGTGAAGTCATCTCAATGTTTAATAACATATTACACAATGTTGACAAAAACCTAGGACCAATTACATTTAAAACAACTTAAAACAAGATAAATTAAATTCAAGTCTGCCAAAACTGGTCAACTGCTACGAGGGCATCACGCAAGTTAAGCCTCATCAAATGCGGATGCCATACAAACATTTGACAAAAACATGCTATGTATTTAACCATTGAAAGTCGAAAAATACCGTTATAAATATAGAAGAGAGAGTGTGCAGTTTGAAGAAAAGTAGGTAGCGATAAAAAATAAATAATTTTTATCCTTAGATTCATCAGTGTTGTGTAAAATAAAAAGCATTGAACAGTGATCTGATGAATTGCTGAGATACAACTTTGCACTCACACCATGTATTTACCATTATGAGAAAGCATTTCACCACCAAACTAAAAATGGACCCGAATATGGCTATGCCGAAAGTTGATAATAGAGGACCAAATGAAGATGCGACTCGTCTACATTTATTAGATTTGTAGTTGAAACAAAACAAGTCAGGAGGTCCAGATTTGAGAATAACTAGTTTTCTATTTGTTTCTCTTTAATTGAAAACTGGATTGAGAAACAATATTGATTTATCAGTTGTTAGGCTTCAGGTCTCAGTACACATGAACAAGTTAAATGCATGTTGCTAGATCTCGACAAGGTACAACAAAATACTTTCGACCATATAGTTGGGGCTTTGAAAGCAAGGCTCAATTTATCACTTTGAAAAACTACAAAAACTAATTCCAGTGCTGGAGTCTACATGAGCTTAAAAGGATTGTTACTTACCTTTGCAGGTGTTCTTGAAGATCTTTGCATCTGGCCAGCGCATCTTGATAATTTCTTCTCTCCTCTAGCAGCTCATTATCCTGAGTTTCTATTTTCCCATGGAGGAAGTTTACTTCAGTTTGTAACTCCTCTGCCCGTGCTTCAAGTGATCTGTAAGACTCTGCCATGCACTTGAGCTGTGTCTCGGCCAAGCTGTTTGACTTTTGAGATGATGTTAATTGTGACATAACCTCTGAAACATGTTGTTCTGTTTCCAGTAATAGCGACTTGGTACTTTCCAGGTTTTCAGTACATCTAACCAGGTCAATTTCCATATTATCCTTCTCCAATTTCAATTGTTCCAACTCCTCCAATGAGCATTTCCATGATGTGGCAGTCAATTCAGATGTTGGAACAAGATTCCCATCATGTGGAATGTCAGGGTCAGAAGTGGAATCAGAAAATTGGGTGCAACTGTTTGAATATCTCTCAGTTGACGAGTCGATGCCCTTATTCTCTGGTAAAGCAATCTTGTCTATACAATCAGAACTACCAGTTTCCACTTCGGAATTTTTATATCCCAGGACATTGAAGTGGAGCTCACGTGCTTTGCTTAATACGAGAGAGAGCTCAAGAACGAAATCAGGGAGGTTTGTTCTACAGTTAATAATCTCATTGTATTTGGCAGAGAATAGATCCATTTTTTCATTCAGTCCTCCATCATGAGCTGTTACCTGGATGGCCTTAGCCTCTTTACCTAGAATCATTACAAAGTCATAAATCTGAGAAATGGCTACTACTAATTCTTGGTTAATGGTGTGAAGAATCTCGGTGTTCGTTTTACTATCTCCAGAAGAAGACATATCCTCTTCTTCAGTCACCTCAGCAACAGTCTTCTGGTCACATGCAGTGTCCAAACACTGCGCTGCCTCAGCAACACGATTTGATGATTTGGGATGTAGAGTATCATGCATATCCTCTACAACCCGTTTAATATCCTCCAAAACCACTTCCATGTTCTTCTCTTTGGACATCAAATCTAGAACCATAGAAATTCTTGATTGAAACTTCAAAAAGGTGAGCGGATTAACATGCACCTGAGGAATCAGTGCTATCACTTCATTAGGAAAAACTGGTGTTTCTGATTCAAGATGATCCTTAGATTGCACATCCGTGATGGCTGTGGCTTCTATCGAAGTGTCATAGTTTGCAATTGCATTTCGTGTATTACCCGACAAGTCTGAACAAGAAACTGCTGCATTTAAATCATTTGATAAATATGCTATTTTCTCCATCTCCAGAAAATCGTCCATAAGGTCCAGGTGATGTGCACTTTCAGACTTGAGTGGACTATCAACATTATTATCCTTCTTGAAGTAAGAGTGCTCAGACATCAACACTGTAGCGCATGATCCAGCAACACTTGCATCATCATCATTTCCACCTTCAGACATGGAGGTCAAGCCTGATGGATTACTTGCATTTTGAATATATGAACCTTCAATAGGGACATGAGCATTAGATTTTGCAGGACTTTTATGTTTACCATTGGCATGCAGTTGTACTTCTAGATCCTGAAGCTTATGGGGCGTATCAAAACATATACTCCTGGAGGCTAGGAGTTCACTGTTGCGATTTGCCAATGCTTCTTTCAACATCTTAGTTTCTTCTTCCATTGCCAATAGACGATCAGTAAGTAACTCATTTTCTTTCTGGTACTTGTGTATACTATCAAGGGAAAATTCAGGAAGTTGGCTCAAGTGTGAAATAGGAGGCTTTAACGGAGACCTTCTCAAACGTGTGTCTCCATATTCCCTCCCCAAAGTTTCAACTTCAAGTTTCATTTGGGCCAATGCAGCAGGACCAGGCAACTTTTTCCTAACAAGACCGCGTAACCTCTGACACTCCGCTTCAAGTTTAGCAATCTTTTTTACTCCTTCCAGGTGCTGCTTGTTGACTACTTCAGCAGATCGAACACTCATATTCTTCTCCTCATTACGAATTTCAAGCTCTTTCGAAGCAATATGAAGTTCATATTCGAGTGAATTTATTTCCCTGTCAGAGGATTCAATATTGCTCTTCAGAAGTTCTACCTCTGCCTCAGCTTGTGATTTTTCTTCACTCAGCTTGATCAACATGTTAGAGCGCTCTTGCAAAGACCTTGAGAGTGCGGCATTTTCAGCAGCAGACCTGAGTAATTCTTGCTCTAAATTAGCTATATTTGCTTCAAGGTGGAGCTTCATCTTGTCAAATTGTTTTGTTTTATTAAGGACAACCTCATGTAACTTTTCTTCATGTTCTTCCTTCAAACTTCGTATCTGCCTCATGCACTCCTTGAGACCATCATCCAAATGTGATGCCCGGTCTTCTGCAGTGAGCTTTAACAGCGTGACAGATTCCAAATGATTTTTCAAAGCTAAAGCTTCTGCCTCAGCCTTTTCCCAACCTGTGCTACTAGTTGTTAGGAGTTAAGTTCTGTCCATATTAGACTAACTAAAAAAGGGAAAATTACCCATTACAATACTCTAAATAAATGAATAGCTTTCTGCATATGTACTAGAGTCAGACCAGTGTCCAACCTGAGACAGCTTCTTCAGCAACTTTGGAATGTTGTTTCACTAGGTTTTCTTTATTAGTCATTTCTGAATGGGCTGCCGACAGTTTTTCATTCAAGACCATTACTTCCTCTTCCAGATTTTTCATTTTTTCTTGGTAGGACTTCACTTCTTCTTCCAACCCAGATAGATGCGTATACGACTCCATTGAAATTTGAACGTACTTTGGTTTTTTATTGCTATCCTGTTTAGCCTGTTAGAAAATGAAACACAAAAAGAGAGTAAAAAATAAAAACTATAAGAAAGTGTACTTGAGAGAGAGAGGGAGTCAACGGGCCAAGATATATTCTCAAACACGGGAACTGTTCACCGTGATTCCGACAAACCTGATCAGTCTGAGTTGTCCCTGCATCTGAAGGGGCTGTAGAAGACTCCGACTCAACAACTGCCGCATTTTCAGCCACTGCCTTATTAGATGAAGATTTCTTCTTCCAGGGCCAACTTTTTCGATCCATTGCAGGCTGTTGCAAACAAAAAGTAAAGAAGTGCAAGCTAACATTACAGTATTTTTCAATAGTGAGGTAATATCCCTAGAAAAGTAAAATGCATCCGATACTTATAATCACCAACACAACATAGGCCTAAACACAAACCACATTATGAATTTAATTAGAATGCTTCAATTGCCATTCATAACAAAATGCCAGTCAAAATTTATAAAGCTTTTCTGATTTTTAAAAACGCTTGAAACATATTCTGAAAATAAGAATTACCAATCAGCTGGAAGATTCAGGTAGGAGGAAATCGATTACCGACCCAATCACAAACCCAGTATCAGGACGCCCAAGTCACTAGGCACTCCAATATTCCCTATTTGAGCTTCCAGACTATGACATGCAATCACACAATAACTTTTTATGGTGTTCAGTAATTAAGATATACAAAAACAAAGGGAGAAAAACTGGAAAAGTTGAAACTTTCAAGTGTGGGCTGAGAAATTTTTTTCCCCCTTTTGAAGATGTAAATTGAGAAAGAACAAGACGAAACTAAGAAAAAATAAGTTTGGACTCACAAAGTTCCAACGTGGATCAAAAGATAAATTAAGTGCAAATAACTGGAGGCCAGTTACAGATTTTTAAGATATTATTGCTATAATGGTTCAATATTACAAAAGTGAAGAAAATTTTTAAGGTGTGCAATCACTCAAGATAATTGAAAATAGGGGGGATAAAGAAAAGGACAGGTCACCAAAAACAATGAAAATATACTATGAACTTGACATTCTTGTATTTACAACAAGTTTCTCAAAGATCAACGTCAAAGAAAGAATTATTCCATACATTGCTTAAAATTGGTCTAAATTCACAGTGCCCGTAGTCAAGGACAAAACAACTTCGAAGGGGATGATTGATTCCCATTTTCCCCAAAATACGTTTTTCCGTCCCTTTTCGACCATACATTCTTTGTTAAAATAATATTACATGCAAATCAAAAACTTTTCCCGGTGAATCCACTTTTCCTGGTCAATCCACTTTTCCAAAATACATTCTTAAAAAATAATGGAAAATCAGACCATCATTCATAAACTTGAAACCGAATGCAGGCATCAATGGCAATATGTGAACCCAAAAGCTTGTAAACAAAATATTTTCTCCGAACAGAAATTCATAACGTAACTTCGACAGAATATACATCATAAAACACAACAAAAAATATGGAGAAAACTAAAAACTAGCAATTAATTACCCAAATTCTAAATTCATTCATAGCTCTTGAAACTTTGGATTCTTATATTAACAGTGGAATATCACAAGAATTTTTAAATAATTTCAAACAAAATAGAAATATTAAAAAAAAAAAGTATTGATCGACCGCCGGAATAAAGATAAAAATATTGTAGTTTCTGACCAGAGTAAAAGCTGATTTACAAGACTTATAAAGCAATGAGACACAACTGCGAATTTCAGGAAAATTGAAAAGGAAAAGTGGTTGAATAAAATTTACTCTACAAATCAAACCCGGGAAAAACGTACTAAAAATAGATTTAAACCATAAAATTTGCAGAACACTAAACAAAAGTCAGTAAAGTTTCAATCTCCTGTGACGCCATCATCTAATTGAAAATCAAAGAAACAGAAAGATGATACACACACAACAATTCCACTTACCAGTCAGGATTACTAGCAATGCAGCTGGAGCAGAAGATTATGATTCTATTACTGCAATAATGTTGATTAGAAGAAACTAAGATCTGCGCTTGAATATAAAGTTAATTTTCTCTGTGTTTGAGAGAGAGAGAGAGGGGACGGTGGCGGAGTGCTGGCGGAGTGCTGGCGGTGAGTAGGAGGTGTGATGGGATGGCAATATTTTGCGTTGAGTCACTTGAAATACAAGGCGTTGGAAAGCTCCAAATCGGTCAGCCTTTTAAAATTGTGCGCTGTATTATTATTTTCAAAATAAATGAAAATTAGAAAAAAAAATATTATAATAAAGAAATAGAATATTTACAGGAAATTGCATAATTGATCCCTAACTTTTTGAATTAGTAAGAAGTCGATCTACAAACTTTGAAAAGAAGCAACTTGATACCTATCATTATTTATTGTTGCTCATTATGTTCTCGACTATCGAAATTGTGAGAGCCAACATTATGATTTAAACAATTTTGGTGATGTAGGACTTACTTTATGGTCGTTATAATGAACTTTTTTTTTTCGATTTTCATAGAATTCACAATTTTTCAGACACATTTCATAATTTTTTTATCAAAATTTGTTAAAAATTTAATTTTAAAATCCACCGTACAGATGTAGAGATTTATATACTAATGGAACAACATATTGAGGATTGAAAATCAAATGACGAATTTACCCTTGAATTTTGTTTAGACCACCGTCATTCTGCCTGTGATTCAATCCAGCTCATAATTTGAGCGTAGACTCGGTGGCATGTGCAGCCTTTGTATCCGATTCTCGTTACGCCGCATATGGATTTTTTTTTTACTTTAAAATATTTATTTTAGGTAGGTCCACAAAAAATTCTATCTGTAAATATGTTAATAGAAATACTTTCTAATTGTTAATAGCTTCGTTTAATTTGTAAACATCCAATAATTAAAATCCTTATCAGTTTTACATGGTCGTTGATATATTAAAAAAAAAAAAACTATTTAAGGATACCGTCCGACGTGACAATCAAGATGGATAACGACGTTTGTAATTTTTCCTGCTATTTTCATGATATTAAAATTTGGTTTAAAGATTGAAAATTTTGGATAAGTATAAAACTTGAAAAGTTGTGTCACCTTCGACCAAATATTCAATTTGATATGATAGCCAAATTATAAATATAAATAGACTAACTTGTTCTACTATCGAGTATATCGTCGTGGTATATTTCAAATCTCAAAACCAATGTCGGAAGAATGAGAAATTGTGATCTAAAGTTGGAAAGAAAAGAAGATAGAATTGGCCGAAAATTTGAGCTATAAGCCTGCCGCTTGGGCAAAAAAAGTTTTGCTGAACAGATATTACTGTCGTTCGAGCGAGAGGCTAGCGATAGCAAGAAATGCTTCCCTTCGTGAAAGTTGATGAATTTGGGGCGTGAACATCTTCTCTTCTATAAATAAAACACTTTAGACTTCCATTATGCATCTCATATTATTTGCATGGAACATTATATCAAAAACTCTTGAAAAGCTCTCCAAAAATCGTTTCAAAATTTATTTTCTTGCAGAGAGAAGAAAAATTATTCGAGTTCACTGTTACTTGTAGTTTGAAGTGTTTTCACCACAAGTTGTATTCGGTGTATTTTGGGAGAGAAGTGTTGTAAACTGTTAGTAACGTTGCGGGACAATTTTGTTTCAAGAAGAAAGTGTTAATCATTTGCCTTGAATTTCTTTTCCTCACTATCTCTTCATTTCTTTCTTTCTTTTCACATTTATTTACATAGAGTTTAATTACGCTTCTACGAATTAAACTTAATTATTACTTTATCATTTAAATAAACAACCATTTCATTATGCATAACCACCGACACGTGAGTTATCACAAACTTACATCTTAAAATAACTGTCCAACATATAAAATAGGACAAATTACATATGAATATTACGAAAATACCTTCCCATGAGATTTATTTTCCGTATCGGCAAAATACAGTTTTCGTTTCTGAACTTGGTGTAATAATTGGGTGGAAGAAAATGGAATGGCAGCTTTTCTTCTACAGAGCAAGGAATTTTGGGAAAGGGCGCATTAGTTGTGTGTGGGAGCAAATAGTGCATGGGGTGGTGGACTATAAATCGAAAAATGACGTAGGTCTTTAGATCTCTTTGTTATTAATATCGTAATTCATTTAGATTATTAATTTTGTTTATAAAGTAAGATTTTTACTATGTTAAGAAAGACGTTAATCACAAAACTAAGTACCCTGGATTAAACGATCAAAATTTATTTTTATCTTGATTAAGATGCTAATCACAAAATTGGATATTCTTAACTGAACACGGAAAATTGATATTTTGCACGTGTTGGTGTCCCTCTTACGCAGCACCGAAAAAACCGTTTCTTGGCAATCAAAATGACTATTATCTCCTTCAATTTTCTCTCCGCTGCCAAGGCATCTATAAAGGTACTATTCCTATGTTCGATTTGGACGCTAAAAAAAGTCCGGATCCTACAAAGATGTATGAACTGAACAGCATTTTGGTCATAAGAACGCACTTTCATTTCTTAAAAACATTAAGCCCACGTTAGATTTAGATAATAATCATATTTATAGTGATTTTAATAAAAGTTGGTGGAATGTATGATTAAAAAATTGTGAGTAGCATAAAATATGTCATTTTAATAATTGTTGCCTTTAACTTAAATTTTAATCTAACTTTTTAGTTGAACCGAACAAAGATTAAATATGAAAATATTTGATAGGCTGAAGTGAACATATCGTGGACATGTATTCATCCACTTTTTAATACTCTCTAATGATATACAGTTTACTGTACTACACGTATCTCATCGCATCGATAGTCTCGACTCTTGAAATTTTCAATTTTCTTTGTCTTGCTTTATCAAATTGTGCTTCCTATAGCATAATTTGCTTATTCAAGATCGATTTTTCGAGTAAGGAAAAGGATTATGCAAAGCTAATTTTGTCTTGCACTTGCGTAAATAATAAGTATATAGTAATTTATATCCTATAAAATATGTGAATATAATTTACGAATCCTATAACCAAGTTATCCTGTTCACCATCTTAATTAAGTTCATTATTACGAGAGTTCATCTTACTTGCAGTGTAAATCGCAAAGTAAACCCTAGAAACTTGTTATCATAACAAAACACCTCCATGGCCCTAATTAAGCTCATGTTTTATGGAAATTAAAATTATATTTTTAGTATATTCTGATTTTAAAAAATGATGAAATATGTGATTAAAAAGTTGTGGATCCCATAAACTATGTAGTTAAAATTAATTGTTGATTTTAACCTAAATTAAAATCTACACTTTTGTTGTC